CTTTTAGAAGATTAGAAGCAGCAGAACCGAAAATGTTAGTGAACTAGAGAGAACTTTGGCAACTTTCCTGCCTATCTACAGGTTTTTATCCTGTGTTACCTAATAGAGGATGTTCTAACTAACATTTTATCATATAAATAGAACTTTAAATAGACAATGGTTGCTAGAACTAGCTCAGCAGAAAACAAAGATACCATCAGGGTCTCTTAAGTTCTAGGAGGTGGAAACCAGAAAATGAACTTGGTTTACTAGTATGTGAATGTGACAAGCAGCACCCAAAGATGATTACTGCTGAGAGCTACTGAATGGCACAGTCCTAATCTGACACGTTCCCTCCTAGCGTGCGCGTAAAGCCTTACAACGATCAACTGCGAAAGTGCAGAAGGCCAAAGAAAACATTACCCTTCTCCAACCCCCAAAAATCAGTGAGGGATCAGGATCTTAGTGCCTGCAGCTAACTAAATGACTTCTGTACAAAAGCACAGAAATATCCACAGTATGGAAATTTTAAGTGGCAGGAGAATAATACTGTGTAGTGTCAGAGATTAAAAAGGTAATGAATGCTAGAACATCACAATAATGCAATTTTCAACACTACCTGAGGACATAACGTAGTTCTTTCTGAGCGCATATCATTTGTATATCCCTGTAATGACTTTACAGAAGTCAGTTATTATGCCTCAGTTGTGTCTATGGAAGGATTCAGCTACTGGAAGCTTGAAAGTTCAGTTACTACTGACTGATGTTATGCCATCATTCTTGGCAAGCACTTTGAAGAAGACGAGCTACAATGTCAATGGAGGGCCCTCAATATTCCAGTGACCTGTGCTTCCTGGAGGAAAGCCAACATCCAGAGCTTTGTCTCGGGCTCTTCTAGTTCCCTCAAATGAAAACGAAGCGTTGTTAAGACCTGGTGATACAACCCTAACCAACGGCACCTCCAGACTGATGGGACAGGCCCCACAGGAGCACACCGCAGGGATACTTCTGCGCCGAATACCAAATATCCTTCTAAATGACCAAATTCATACGCAAGTAAAAACAAAGTAAATGTTCTTTGAAGTAAAGACCACGGGATCAACTCATTATCAACAACCTAATGTCTGTACCAATTAACGGAAAATAAACTACATTTTGTGAGTATTTGGATGAAAGCCACAATCTGATGACATCTAAATGACTGCACAGTCACTGCACACTTTCAAGCAATTAAATTAAAAGACTTCCTTGTATTCACTTTTTTAAATATAGCATGCACTGTAAAATTTACTTCACGTATCTGTAAAGCATTTTAAAAAACAGGGAAGTCACGTTTGGTAAACAAATTATGAATTCCAAAAATAAGGATTTGGGACTAATCTCCTGAATCTGGGTCAAACATGTATTTGTTTCATGATACAAGAAATAAGGCTCTACCAGAATACACAACCTTTCTTTGGCTCCTGCAGAGACAGCACTTCATTAAAAAAAATATTTACTATGTAAAAACTCCTCCATGGAAATTAATTATTGTAACTATGTGCCAGGATTTCTGCAATACATTTCTATTGATGAATTCTAAAATCTAAAAATCAGACAGAAGAACAACTGGACAGATGGTTTTGGTGGTACAGACTGGCTCAGAAACATGACCATCTACAGCAGGTGAGTGTTCCCCCTTTCAAAAATAGGCCGAGATCCCCATGTAGCCAATAAACTGTATCTCTTTTTTGATACTTCTTGCTAAATCAATCCCCCCTAGCTATCATAACCTATTGTAACAAGCTTTTAAAAACAGAAACTATTAAACTGTACTTGTGCACCTTTTTCTACCTAGCAAAAGGTGGAAAGTCGCTTGAGGAAACTTGCAACCAAGACATAGTACATGGCATCTCCTTTCGCAACAATTTCAAAACGGCATAACAACAGAACCAGACTCCACCTCTCTTCCTGCACAATATGAAAGCATGCTACTGACTACTAGAATAATATTTAAATATATTTACATATTATGCATGGATTATTTACTGACTATAATGCCCACTCTGTAAGATCCCTGAATTATTAAAGGGAAAAAAAAAATCCCACAAAAATAAACCCCTCAAATTACTACAAAAGAGTTAAATTGAAAAGGTCAAGGATATTTTACACACATAAAATACAGACCTCAGTGCTATGTAAAAAATAAGCAATAGCTTGCACTTCTATAAACTACAGGGGCTGTGTTTTAACCTCAGAGGAAACTGACTTTCACAAAACACAGAAGGAATCCTAGGGGGGGTCAGAGGAGAAGCAAGGGGGGGGAAACATTTCTGCAGTTGAGGAGAAAGTAGTATTCCATCTGAACTTGTGATACTGCCAAGGAGTTCCTCAGTTTCACACAGACAACAAAGACTCAAAGAAGCAAGGAGTTGTCGTCAATGGTCTTGTAATGGTAAGAAGTCAATTCTTGCCTTCTATAGCTAAAAATATACCATAAAATCAAATTTATTGCTTACCATATGCAAGAAAAATGTCAGCCTCTATGAGGATAATTATTAAACTAGTGGTCCATATTTTATTTTAAGAAGTTGTTACTCCCAAGCACTAAAATGACACATAACAGTTTATATAGAAGCAGAGAATACCGATTGCAAAAAAAAGTTAAAAGTAGGCAAACTCTACTGGAGTTGAAACTAAATGCACACATATTTAAATAACCACATTTTAACCCACAGCACATAAATGCCATCAGTATGCAGGAAAATGGCTTTTACTTTGTAACTAATGCATCTTCTAAGTTTATGTAATCCAGAAATTAAATGTTAAATTTTCCCTTTAATGAAAGTATGCTGGCTTTCAATCTATGGTAGCAACCAAAGTTTATACAGCAGGCTGTGTATCAGAAATCACCATTTTGTCCTGCAGCAGTATTTTGTTAAGGAAGAAAATGCAGGATAAAATCATGGTTTCATGTGGTTATACCTGTCCAAACTACAAAATTTCAGTTTATTTCTGTACAAAAAGGAGTCTTCTTTTAACTTAGGAATTTTCAGGCAAGTGTTTGACGTTAGGAAGAACATAACCTCCATGTGATAGGTATATGTTAGCAAAGCAGATAGCTAAAAACCTGGTTTACAGGATCTGTAGAAGAAGGTGGTACAAGAATTTTGTCTTCCATTCTGTAATCTTTTCTAGGATGAAAATGGGTCCTTCATGTCTATCAAGGTTCCAGACTCGAAGATGAATGACGTGAAAAGCTTCTTCTCACCGAGTGCAACCTCGATTCCTAAAGAGAAGGACAAACACTGTGTCGTTTCCTTCTTTTCTAAGTGTGTCCCATTTACCACGCAAGTAACGCTTCAATGAAAAGTTACAGTCCATTTCGATATCGCGCCAGCTAGACAGACTTTGTTCATAAAGGAAGATCAGATTTCCATTACATACATAGGTGAAGTCAACAGTAGCAAGAAATACCTTCCTTTATTTACAAGTACGGAATGTTAGAACGAGTTCAGAATTAATTTAGGTTCAAAAATCAAGTTTTGTTCATTGATCATACAGCCTTAGTAAAGTATGTCAAGTTAAAGCAATTGTATCCTCTTTATAACTGGATAGGGAAAATTTATTTTTGTAATATATTGGTAAAACTTGAGCTGAACAACTGCTAGCTGTCCTATCTGTAACCTAACAAACAGGCAGTGGACTGTGATTAACTTGTCAGTGGACCCACCAGATGCTGACAACAGCATGCCAAGATCCAGAAAACGGCTACCATTTTAGATGCTGGCAAAAACAGTTTAGAACACTTGTAGAATTCTGTTTATTCTTCCCAAGATCAAATTCTCTTACCGTCTCCCTTTGTCTCTCACCTAATCTGTATCCCATTTGTGGGACTCCCATCTGTTTTATTCTCTTTACTTCACCAATCCGAGTCCATTTTTCTCATTCCTACTATGCCATATGACACCTCAGACGAACTTTGTTTTCTAACCTTATCTTCCTAGCTGAGGCCTTTTCAGCACTCTTCTTTTTGTTTTGTTAGATTTCCTCTCTTTTTTTTTTTTTTTTTTTTACCCTCCCTCCTGGCTCCTCAATCTCAAGATTTCAATTTCTTTCCATCATCTACTAGCTCCACATCATGTTGTGCATTGCCTTCCTGATCTCTCGGTTCCACGGCCATCCAGTGCCAGCCTCCCTGCCCACTCTGGCTCTCACTACATCAGCCTTACAGGAATGCAGACCCCATCTATTTCTTTTTCTTGAGTTTTGACCCTTACTGGAATATGGAGGACACAAACACATTTTCGCCCCTCTACTGCCTGGTCCCAACAGAGAAGAACTATTCTCAGTTTCACACTGGCAAACTTTTATTTTTCAAAAGCCACATCTAGGGATAAATCACACAGGCACCTACACAGACAAGAAGTCACACCTCAAACAGTAAGCCCCTGCTACACATCACCGGGCTGTTTAAAGGCTATCAAGTAAGAAACGGACACAAAATTTAACATCTGCAAAACATGTATTCCTTCCTAGCTTCATATTATTAAAATACTGATTTTTTTTAAAGAAGCATAAACAACTAAAAGCAGCACCTTTTTCACAATAAGTAGTATGGTTAAGCACCTGCAAAAGTGTATCACACAAAATAGGGAGAAAAGGGGAGAAAGTTGAGTTGTCAATAAAGGAGTTAAAACAGTTTCAGAAACAAAAAATACACATTAAAGTGCTGACATTTTCCTTCCCTGTTGAAGGAAAATAATCCAAACACACACAGAACTTGGGAAGTCAAACTAGAAAGGAAATAATGATGGAATATATATATATATATATGATTATCCCAGACACAAATGACTTGGACTACGTAAGTTTGCTTGAAGTAAAATATTTATTAGGAAATTTACAAACATGCAGGAAGCAGCTCAGGAATATTACAGACTATGCTAATTTCTATCCCAGTATGTTTTAATATTTACCAATTTGTAAATAGCAAACATTGCAATGAAACAACTGACCCCACGTTTCACAACAGGAAGCTGCTAGCTGGTATGTTGATGATGGATCTCAGCCACGTGGGAAGGACTGGACAAGAAAATTGGTACAGGTAGACTAGAGCTGCCCAAATGCCTTAATAGTGAATGCTCCATAGTGCTGCCTGTCAAGTAGAGAGAGAGAACACACAGATCAGAGAAAGCACAAGGAAAAAAACCCACTGAACTGGCATGAGAACAAACCATTAAAACAGAAAAAGAGGAGATTGTAAAGAGAACACTGATGGAAACAATGCAAGAAAAAATATCCCATCCGCACCTTTCTGTGTTAATGTAAAATCAACAAGTATGGTTTTGGTGGAGTTCAAAATACCCCTTTTCCAGTCAACAGACCTCGCTACTGCTGGTGACAAGCCTCTTGTTAATTATATCTGATGCCAACTAGAAGTTTAGATTCATGCTTCTGAGACTACCGTAACTTTAAACACAAGGTTTATTCCTTCTCTCAATTTCACTGTATACATAAATGAAAAAATACTTACCTATACAGAAAATACGTTGTAAGGTATAATTTTTTTGTTCCAGATAGAATATCATACAACAGTACACTGTACTAGTATAGAATTATTATACTTTTCCCAGAATGTTTACACCAAGACATCCCCTTATAAAAAACACAATTTATGTATACATACATGCATGTGCATATATACAAAAATGTACACACACATGGATTTGTGTACTATACCCACAGAACACAAATTTTACCTTCTTACTCTTTTAGCTGTAGAGAAAAATGGAGTGCTGTAAGTTCAGATAAATCTACAGAATGCTCACTACCAAAACGCCAAGGTGTTAGCATCATGCAGCGTTATGATTTGAATGCGTATATACATAAACTGTATTACAAATGAATACCCCAAATTCCATCTTGACAAAGGAAGATACTCCTCTGATCTTTTGGTTAGTAGCAATATAATTACTGCCGATATACTGTAGACTGAAAATGCTCAAGTAAAGAATCTTTGACCTTTCTAAAAAGCATTTCCTTACAGTAAGTAGAAAATGCAATTTTAAAGCTACCAAAGAAGATCATGGGGAACAAAGCAGTGACAAAAAACAAACACGCAACGAAATCTGAAAACCAGGATACGCTTCTGTCATTGATAGGTTCTTGTTGTTAGAGAACTCAGTGAAACGAGTTCTCAGAAAAAACTGTCCAAATACTTTGTACTTTTCCGTGCCTTTCCAGAACATTTTCTGAAGCATAAGCTTCAAAGAAGTACTACAGCCCCGCACTCCTATCTAGTGTATAGCACTTTCAGGTTCCAAGAACTGGATTAAGGAAAATTGTCAAGACTGTCAGCTAAAACTAGTCTAGTGTGGGGACAGGACCAAAGAGTTTAGCTCACTTAAGGTTCATTCCCCGCGCTCCCCCAAGCTAAATGTCCAAGCTCAAATAACACCACCTCCCCTTCCCCAAAGACCTAAAAAGTCTGTAGGAAAAGACACTGTATGATCACATAATGTTAATGTCGGCCAAAACATTGTTGGATACAGACCATGGGAACAGCAAAAACTCTGACTGAGGCTAGAACCACGCCTACCCCAACAGGTACACTGCAGCTGGAAAAGATGACCAAGAAGAATAAAAAAACCCAAAAGCCTGAAACAAAACAAACCCCCACCCAGCTACCCACCTCCATGTGCCAGAACCTTTCCCAGCTTTGCTCAATTCACACACACTGCAGCTGTGTCACTCAGCTCCCCAGGCCTGATGGGTCTCCCTCAAGCACAACAGCCAATAAATATTTACCAGGCCAGTGCTTCAGAACTCAAGAGAACCATCCACCAAGACAAAAACCGAACTCACAGGTGTTTCTCTCAATTCTGAAACCAGAGAACATCAATTTCAATCTTCCCTGAAGTTTCTTCTGTTACTGTAGACTACATAGATCTTTACTAAACACAACCTTGTACCTGTCCTCTAGCAGCATTCAAACATCAATCTCCATATTAGAGGACAACTTATGATCTGAAACACTGCACAAAATTCAGCAGAGACAGAAAAAAATTCACACTTTCTAAAAGCAAGTGTCACCTAGCAGCCTCCAGGACTGAAGGTCGACCTTTTCCATTTGTACAGATGTGAAAATGAAATAACTTCCACATACTAACAAAACACAACACACTACAATCCCCAGAAGAAAACACCTTCAGGCAAATACAAAGGATCATTAGCAAATATACAATCAAGGGGAAGGGGATTAATATTTTTGATTTAAACCTGATCTTAAATATCAAATTTGGATCTGAAGAAGAAATTCTAGTTGGAAATCAAGGAATGTTTTCTTCCAATCTGCATTTAAGATTATTATAAATTTTGTACTAAAAGTTACATCAACAGAATGCTATAAGTGGTGGAACAGAGACAATGAAAAATGAATTAGAGAATTGCCAGAACTGAAGCTTCCTTTGTTCTCTGCTAAATGGCTTACACGATTAATGAACTGACTTATCTTTTTATACATCCACAACAGCAAGGAAACAGTGGCTTAGAATGTGTTACTGTCTTCAATAAAGATGTCATCCATTTTGTTTGCTCACTCTTGTGACCATTAAAATCCAACTGCAATGCATGCTCTGTTTTGAGTTGCATTTGACAGCTGTAAGCAGCCTACAACTGCCAAAAATCTGTGGATATTGGCTGTACCCATCTTACTCTCACATTACAACTCCCAGCTCCCAGTATAAAGCATTGTTTGTTCCTAATGCAATTCCTGACAAAGTGGAGGCAATTAGCAAATTACCTTCAAGGTAAGGTCCTTATTTTAGGCATCTGCTCCTCTTACAGGGCCACTACTTGGCAACTTCAAGCAGCAGATACATTTGTTTGGATTTTGTAACAAGACTACAGCCAGCAGACAGTGTATTTATGCAGCTGGGGAGCAGGTGGTAATGACACAACCACTTAGTTAATACATAGCAGTCTGCCGTCAATGTTTGCTGCTCTTTTTTTTCAGCCATTGTTGACTGCTCAGCCACAGGGATAGACACGCAACAAGCCGATCACATTTATTACACATGGAATATATTGAAAACTTAGGTAAAAGGTAAGGTGAAGTGTGAAAAGGAAGAATTATATTCCAGAACTACTAATTACTACTAAACAAAGCTAACTAAATAAATAAAAATTGAAACCTGTCAAAAACTGTTTGTCATCATCTTGTAATGAATGAAATTATCAGAATTCAGTAAGTCTTTGTAAGGGTTTAACTGTATCTGTGAATCTACGTGAGACCTGAATAGAGCAGAGTCCCAATTATGGATACCAGACGACTTCTGAGAAAATGGGTAACAAGAAGCAAGAAATACAGTGAAGGAATGGACAGGATTAGCACCTTCATGCTCAATTTCGTCAAATTTTAATCTGCACCACTAAGACAAGTCTTACTTCCTCTATCTTATCCCAAACTTCTTGTGTAGGTACAAGAGTTTGTGCAGTCGCTTGACAAACTGGGCTGAGGAACTGATCCAACCTCAAGTTAGCTCTTTTTGGGTGGTGGGAGGCAGGCGCTGTCTTTCACTAGATGAGCTCACTGACCCGGTTTACCATTTTGCCTCACAAAACTCTCTACCAGTGCAGGAAATGGGTGATGTGGAAAATGGAGTGAGTTGCTGGGTTATACCAGCTTTGGCTATGTGCAAAATCACTTCTAAATCTATGAATAAACATAGAAAATATTGTATCAGGAGACAAGCAAGACTCTGAATTTGTGGTTCATTTCCTACGCCACAGTAACCAAACATGGTTTTACCACACATGCACACATTCTACCGTAAACAAGACTCTGAATTTGTGGTTCATTTCCTACACCACAGTAACCAAACATGGTTTTACCACGCATGCACACATTCTACCGTAAATTGACACATTATCACTTATCACAGGGTAAAACACTTTGTCTTTGCTGTGAGGTAAAGCACGGTAGTATGGTAATTACTGCAGAAGAGGAAGAGCTATTATGCTCTAGATCTCCCTTGTAACTTCACACTGTCTTGTTCGTATAGCCTTGGTCATAGGAAAGATGACAAAAGTCAAGTTCCAAGGTGAAAAATCTTGTTTCTCTATTTGATACAGAAAGTACGCACTTGGTTTTGATTCTGAGACTACTACTGCCCTTAAGTGTTTTCATACACTGTTAAAAGTGGTATATAAACTGGATATTGAATTACTGTGTTACACGAACTCCCTCTTACGTGTTTCTTAAAAATACGAATCAGGATTAGTACTCTCAAATTCTTATTCAGCTTGGTTTTTTTTCAATTGGAGTACTTGCATTTTATTCCAAGACAATACTTAATGTTACAGCCCCCTCTACTGGAAATGTTTAGTAGATATTGTCACACAACAGTCTGGGAAAAAAGACTTCTCTTAAAAGAAATGAAAAAATACATATAAAAGACAGATGGTAAGATGGCTTTGCTTCATTCATATTTAGTCTGTCATTTGTAGTTGAGTAAGCATCCTTCACAGATGAGTAAGTGTAATCTCAAATAAAACTAGTCCTTTGCTACCAGGCAACTCTAGGCTAAGTCTAGTTCAGACAGTATTTCATATATTAACCACCTTATTAATTTAGGCAAAAGGACCTTAAACTGGGGCCCAAAAAACTCCAACCTGTTGGGTCAGGTGACATGGAAGAATCCAGTTCTAGAATGGCCATTCAGAATCAGAACTGCACAGAAAAGCACTCACATGCGGCCCCAACCAGGCCAGATTGTCATGCTCCGAAACCCCACCACACCAGTGTGAGGTGTGTATCTTAGGGTGCAAGTAATGAATCCAGCTTCTCAGGATGCAGAGACAAGGATTTGTAACCATCATTTTGAAGGACTGAATGAAGTTCACTGCTTTCTCTCAAAATACAGTTTTCATTTGCAGTTTTAAAACTAGTCATGGTTTTTTCCTTTTAGTTTCCCCAAATACTTCCAAAAGAAGTAACACCTATGTCCTCTGTAACAAAGTGAATTAAAATGAAGTTTCTCTGCAACGTTTTTCTTCACTGCAAAGTGAAGAAAAATCTCAGTTTCTCTGCAACGTTTCTGTTTTCCTTATTTATTAATTCATTGATGAAAGACTTGTTCATCCCTGCCCCTCTTCTCTTACCATGCTCCTGCAAGAAAGGGGACAGCAAGACTACCATGCTTACTTCATCTATCTTAGTTTGATACTCACAGGTGCAGGCATGGCTACGGCACTCTGGGCATAAGGCTGGTGATGTGGTGCTTGAACTCCATGATCAGAACACAGCTGGTATAAAACAGAACACAAAAAATAAGCAGAAAAGCTTGTTTTTGCAAACTTTTCACATAAATTTAGATTCCTTAAAACTTCAAGTTGTGAGCTATATTTATCTTAACTGATTTGTTAAAAACTAAAATTTCAGTATTTAAATCTATGTTTTCCCCATTGTACCAAGGTTTGGCAAATTTAGTTTACCTAGATCAACGTCAAAAAGCACTTTCCTTGACAGAAGCAGCATGCTTCTCTGCCACAAATCCATTTCACTCAGCTCTAATCGAAACAGTGTTTAAATGTGTAGATTAGCATATTGAAATGTAATTCTCAGCATTATGGCACTTACGAGATATTTACACACAAGTAATAGAGGCTTTTATTTGAATTTTACACCATCTTCTGAATTTCCACATACTGCTTCCTTTAGCATCAAAAAATTATGTACCTGTGAACTGAGAGCATGTTACATTCAAATATTCCTAAACTAATTTCATTTTTTTAATTTGTGCTCAGTTTTCAAATTTCACTGTACAATTTGCTATCTGATTTATCGAATACAAAAGGTAAAATAACAACATTCATAAAAAGTTTTATGATTATACAATAAATCCTGAGATTATGCACTTAAGAAGAAGAAGAACCTCAACAACCAGAGTCTTGTATTATTTAAGACCTTTATAGGGAAATTGAACTACTCAGGTATGTCAGGATTTCCTGCTTAAGATGTCCAAAACAATTTTGTAACACCTCCTGTAGCAGTGATATACTCTTCAACTTTTGTAAAAATACTTGATTACTGTCCTAATTTACCGTTTTTTTGGCATCCCTGTTAATGAGGAATGAATTACCAAAGACGAAAAGTACAAATTAATCGTAATGTATTTTCAATTTTATATTGTTTCTGTAGCAAATCATTTACTGTAATTTTCAATATCAAATTATTATACATTAAGAATCTCTAAGAAAGATTCGAAATGCTATTGATATAGAAGCAAGAAAAATCATGAACAAGCAAGAAAATTTTCAGTCATTCAATTACTCTTAATTCATTCTGATCATCAGAATATTTAGAAATGACCTTATGCTCACACAGAAAAAAAAAACTTCAGGAAACCATTAGGCTCGGACAGACTGATCAAGCATTCTGAAGACTGTGACTCCCATTTTATTTAAATGCTTTTTTCAAACAGAACAAATTGACTAGTCTTCATACTGCTGTTATACATTTGTGACCCTCTAAAATATTTCAGGATCAAAGCATCTTCCTAGCAAACTGGAAGAGATACTCTAACTTGAGGACAACTGAAATGATTTAACAGCAGCAGCGTGGGTGTCGGGTTAAGTACAGGGCACAGTTGACTGAAGTGCTCTGAACTGCCTGTGCTTAACCTAAAAGATTATGTTTTTATAAAAAATTTTGCTTGCAATTGCAGTGCTTATCTGCAATTGAAAAATACCTCAGGAACCGCAGCTTCCACTAGGAGAGGAGGAGGTACACATCCACTTTCCTGGGTAACCCCTACTGGCTGATAAATGACTTCAGATGGTTGCACATACAAGAAGGAAGGTGAAGAGGCAGGAGACTGAAATAAAACACATTGTCATACATTATATGATTTACACACTATAGATACCGAAGCTTATTTTACAGTGGTGTTTGCTACAAATAAACAAAGTTTTAAAAGGTAGTACCAAATTAATCTCTGATAACCTAAAGAAACCAAGTGAGGGGGAAGTGGGTTAGAAAGGTCAGGTAGTAGAATAAAACAAAGATGTCCTTTAGTCACTTTTATGTATTTTTCAGATTTTATTTACATTTTGGAAAGCATTGTTTGCAAAATCCTAAGCTTATGAAATTGACACTTACTCTCAAGATTACAGAAACATAATACAGTTTAATTTCCTCTTCCAAAAACGTTACATTAAAAACCCAAATATTTTTGTTTTAGAATAAACCCCACAGTATTGCTGTAATTCAGCACCCACATTTCAAAGCAGTAGACATCTGTTAACAGAGTGGAACTGGCCATAACTGGACAAGGCTGGCTGCTATTAAAGTAATAAGGACGCACTGTAACTGTTCAGGCTTAAGGGACTTGGTCCTCCTTTTAGCTTCAAGCTCTTCAAGTTCCTCGAGGGGCAGTAATTCCATATTAAGCTCCTCTGCTACAGAGATCACAACACCAATAAAGTCTCCCTCCCAAATTATTGAATTAATAATTCCAAGTTCTTCCTCCTATTTCAAGGGTCTTGGTCTAATTCCACCATAATTGTATGTCTACATGAGTACTGTTGGCAACACTCCAATGAAATATCACAACTAGTATCAGTAAATAAGCTAGTTAATACTAATTCCTCCTCTCAGGCAAAATACAGCAGTTTTTACCTGCTTCTGAGAACTTCTTCGATAGTTTAATATCAACTTTCTGCCAGAGGGAGAGGGGAGGGGAAGATGCTTTCTTTACATCAGATTGGTATTTGATGTTTCAGTAAACACTATTTTATGCCTCCTACTGTATCAGCAAGTGTTGCAAATGCATTGCTAAGAATACTGCAACCAGTATTTATCTCAACAGGGCTGTGAATAGTGGGAAATTTGACTTAGATAAGTGCACTGTACCTTTAAACTAGATGCAAACTAGTAGTAAAATGCTGCAGCTATGAACTGTATTTACCTGTGGAACAGACCACTGCCACTGACTTGGGAGACACTGTGGTGGTGCCTAATTCAAACACAAAAGGTATTACTTCTGTGATTAAGAACATACGCATACACATACTAGAATCAAAACCGTCTCAAATCTATAATAAAATAGTAATTAAAAAAGAAGTAAGATTTTTCATAGTCCCACAGATAATTCAGGAACACAGTTTTGTGTTTTTAACTCAACCTCTGAATTGGGCATTTCATCAGCTTCTAAAAATATCGAAGCGGCTAAGCAGTGTGCCCAATTAGGAAAACAGAAGATAATAAAACGCGGTTAACTTTCCAATACACATTAAAAACACAGACATACTGCATAAACCCAGCAGTGGGCCAGAAGATGATTAGGGGAGTGGAAAATAGACATACCAGGATGCTGAGAGAACTGGGTTTGTTCAGCCTTGAGAAGGATAAAGGTGGGAGAGGGCAATTATTGTTGGCTACAACTACCTAAGGCAGGGCTGGGACATAAATATCACTGAGCCAGATTCTCAGCAGAGGTGTTCAGAGCACGGAGTCAATTGACACAGGCTGGAATGCTGAAAATTCTAACTAGTTATAAGGAAAAAAGTCTTTTACCATAAGAAGGGTCAAATATTGGAAAAGGCTGTCCAGAAAGGTTGCAGAATCCCCATCACTGGGGATATTTAAAATTCAACTGGACATATTCCCGAGAAACATGATCTAACCAGCCCTGCTTTGAGCAGGAGTTTGGCTTAGATGGTAAAAGTTAAGGATGGCACTAAGCCAGTTGTCTAGCAACACCAAAGAAAATTAATTTATTACATTTCCATGTAGTCAGATAGGCAGATTACGTTGTATTCAAGTGAACAGAAAGCCTCCGATGAAATGTAAATCTGTTTTATGTGATTATTTTGAACAGTCTTTATTTCCTAAGAATAAACAGGCCTGAGACAGTGCAGCAAATAAAACAGCATGGTTGGAAGGAATACTGACAGTCTGAACCCCACTTTCAAACAGATACCTGGTAATGGTATGTAGGAGACTGATAAACCGGTTGAGCTACCATCACAGGTGAACTGGAAACAGAGCGCGACTTAAAAAGAAAAGAGTTACAAGTCTTAATGCAGCCATTTCATAAATCATCACTCCTATTAAGAGTTCTGAAGTACTATAATGCTGAACCATCTCCCCTCCCTTTTGAAAATTTTAACTTGCACTTAGATTCTTCAAAACCACTGTTTCTAGGGGCCTATATTAGAGGCAAAACAAAATTCACTGGCATATTTACTTAGTCCTTTCCAGAAAGCACTAGGCCATTGCTATCTAGAGATGCTAAGCCCATCTGCTATCCTGACCATAGGTATATTTTTGTTAACACTTCGGGTAATGTAAGTTGTCACTGAGATATTCCTACCTTCTCCACAGCCCAAATGCAACCTTCTCTTTTCCATTCCCTTCTTCACATCAGCCCCAGCATTCATCTGATTTAACAGTGAGCCAGTTTAGGGAGCTAAACCAGCTAGAAACCTGTCTGGGTTTTGTGGGGACCCAGTTTAGGGTCAGAGAAACATCACTGAAAGAAAGCGGTAGAGGACAACATAGCATTGTGAACCTCTAGTTCTGATGAGCTAAAGCTAGGGTTTGCAAATTCCATGTCATGGAATTACCTCATTCCTGCAAGTATTTAGGAAGAAATAGCTCCCAAAAAAATTCATTCTAAACTACATGAAAATGCAGAACGCAAAACGGGAGAAAAGACCCAATCTGCACTGTTATACATATACAATAAACACCAAAAAGTATTAATATCTTTAATTTGATTAATGTTTTCTGTAACAAATTTTCATTTTTTCCCCGTAACTTCTTTATACAGGTACTTTCCTAATGATGAAAATTAAGAACATGTAAATAACTGCAACCAGAAGTGGCAGCACTCTTTGTAATTGGTAAGATTTTTTGCTATTTGTTTGAAAAAGTGGATCTGAGCCAGGGCACCAGAGCCAAAGTTCAGTACTAGAACACAAAAAGTATTGTTTCTTCCAAGAGGCAGGGTTTGAGCAAGTTCTCTAGAGCTACAGAGCACGAACTTCAGAAATGCTTTCTAAAATCTGTAGACAGGCATTTATGCTCATCCTCTAAAGCTGAGAAGGCACTATACCATACCTCTGTTAGTAGAGCAAACATCTTACCAGTTAAGTGATTAAAACAGAGGTTAAATACTGAGAAAAAGATTATACAGTACTAAAATACACAACATAAAACAATCTATTACTGCTCTCATCTCTGTTTTAGGAAAGTTCGTTGTTCTTTATTAGTAATTCTTCTTTTGAGTTTTTCCCCCAATACGTGAAGGGATTTTTCACTCCTTTATACGGATGGTATGCACAGCCTCTGTGAATGCTGCTTTACAGAAATTCGTAAGGACGCATCCATTAAGCAGCTCCTGTGCCTCGAGCAGACCACACCAGCCCTGCAATCCTTCCCTCTTGTAAAAAAAAAAAGTGTTTGACAACTCCTTCCTGTACTGTCCAAGAAATTCCGTTCAAGTTCCCCAAACCTACTAAAGCCAAACAATTAATCTATTGAATTATCTTCCTCCTACAACAAGCAGTATTCTTGAAAAAGAGTACATGAATGACCATAAAATTACCCAGCTTCACTTTTGCTTTGTTGATTCAGTATTCTGTTCTATTTTCATCCTCCACATAATAGTCTGCAGGCAAGAACACCTCACTCATGGAGGAATAATAAGCTGAGCCAATTAAGGGTCCTAAGCACCAACAACTCCTTAGCGAAACAAAGCTTCTCCTGGGGTAGTGCCCACACTGATCCTGAGCTACCCTGTCCAAGAGGTCACATCAAAGCAAAAGTCCCCTGCAGAAGAACAATAAACTTTACTAATATTAAAAAAACCCCAAGATAAACAGACTAATATAAGGAAGTCATTTAAACATCAAACACAAAGCATAGCCAAAGAAACTAGAAGCAGGAGGGACTTAAAACACTGTACTCATCCTGGTCCACAGAAAAGCATATACATAAAAATAAGCTACTTACTGGCCATGGCTGTGAAACAGAAGCAACTTCAGACGTATGAAAATAAGCCACTCCATTATGGTAAATATAAGGATATCCACTTGAAGTAGTTAAGTACATTGTACCAGCTTCTGGTATTACAGCAGAACCTAGAATTAATATTTTCAAGTTTACTTACACGTAAATTTTATATGACCTATACATCTACAAAAATAAAAGATAAAAGATCACTTCTGATCTTCAGAGAAGCAAAAACACTCAAAGGAAAGAACAAGGGGTAGTGTGCTTAGTGCCATCTCAATTCCCTCTCAAACACAAAATCATGAAGGCAGATGGTCACAGGATGTCTCCAGAGGTAGATGGGATGGGGTGCAGAGGATGACACGCATATAAATTACTAAATACAGGTAACTCCAGTTATGAGCAAATACATTTTTTTAAATCTTCAAATGTCCAACGGTTACTTCACATTGTAGGACATTTTCACTGGTAACCTCCAAGTATTTACATTTAGCTGAAACAGGATCCAAGCACTAAAAACCAACCTAATGCCTTCATTACAAGGTGCAGTCTGGTTTCTCAACACACAGAGACTGTGTTTCTGTGACGGCACATGGCCTGGCAGAAGTAAAAACTGGTATCTAGATGTCAGCAACAGGGACACTTCTCAGCAACGCTGCCGCTACGGTAGAGGCTGTAAGTGAGCACGGTCTGATCCCAACGCAGAGTTCCATCTACACAGCCCTCCAATGGCTACTGACAGCAAACCTCATTCAGATCAAGGGATATCTATCCCCATGCAGAAGCTGTCTTTTTCAAGTACTGCCTTTGAGATTCCTATCCTCCCCAAAATGCAAACAAAAATAGAGCTTAACTACAGGATTTCATGTTTCCCTAGAACTTTGTCCAACACGAAGACAAGTTTCAGTTCCAAATATAAAAAGACTTCCAGATAAAATAAAATACTGTATTTGCAATTGAAATCTTGAAGTCACATTGAGTAGTAACATAGCATGGAAAGTACTTAGGAAGAACACAATATACAGAAGATCACTGAGCAAGTTTTAGTTTTTCACCTCTACTGCAAAGCTAAGTGCCACAAGGAAGTGCCATTTCACGGACAGACACAACACTGGAGAGTACTAGAATGCTAAGTGGCAGACCAAGCAGGGTCCCACAACAATTCAAGAGCTTTTATCGATGGTAAGAGTTTGACTAGCTCCTAGAAAAGCCTGAAGACACGTGGATACAGTAAAGCTGAAATACTATCTGTAGACAGGTCAGGCTCCCATAAGCAATCTAGAAGAGTAGTTAGTGATACTTCAAATGAGGAGATCAAAAGGATCCCGTGGCCAACAATCCTGTCCAATTAATCCTGTGTACATTGCACAGAACTTACTGCTACTGTTGAAAACGTCTCTTGCCAAGGAAAAGGAAACATTCTCCATCAAACCCAGGAAACTCACTGTAACAGAAAAATAAAACAACCTGGGGTTGTTATAGCTAGCTGAAATTCTTCCAGCCCACAACAACTCATCATTCTTCTTCCAGCTGTTCAGGTTTGGTTTCTACTTACCAGCTTTTAAAATGCCCATTTTCACAATACTTCATGCTGGACAAAAGCAAACTGAGCAGTCCTCCCAGTAAGTTCAAAGCTCTTCACACAAAAGTTCCTATGACAGAAGAGCTAAAAACTGTTCCACTGCATAGTAGGGAAGACGGGTACAAGGTTACAGGTAGGCTGGAGAGGGCAGCAATAAATGGGCTGTCTCCAATTCTGCTAAATACAGTAGAACCACAGCCCTACAGTGATAACCCCTTGATGATGACAACTGAGCAAAGATGATGCTGAGTAATTTCTAAAGCAAAGAAACTATACAGTTGGAACAAAGTATTCCATTTCCCCAGGCAAGCACTATCCCGTACACTTACAAGGGAGAAGGGCATACCTATGCACAAGGGGAGGAAGAGAGAGGGAAATTTCCTGTCTGCACCAACAGCGTCAGTGTACATATGAACTACTTCTAATCACTAACATGACGGTAACAACTAAGGAAAGCTTTAAAAAACCTAAAATTCTTCCGTATTGTCCCCGGATGGAAGATGAGCAAAAGTTTTTTTTTCACTCTTCCAAAAGGTACCGGAGGACAAATACTGAAGGAAAGTTACAAAAGTAAACTTCATTCCCTGCTGCACTTGTAAAAGGAACGTATTTTACATCTGACACATAGCCCTTACTGAAGGGTAACAGAACAGCATGCCCTGCTGTGCCAGAAACTGACAGATCTTAACAGTTTGTGATTTATACCCTACAGTTTCAGTAGTGTATTATAGAAATAATACAGCCCCTGGCAAAAGGTGAGAACATGCTCTCTAGAACAAAACCTGTCTTCTGTTGCTCCCAAAAGACCAGCGTAACAGCATATTTGCTCAAGACAAAGAAGTCCTCTGACAAAAAACATTATCAATATTCCTCTTACATAAGTGTTTGGTCTAAATAGTTCTTTGCCAGAGAAGGATCCAGCATCCACTCCATTATCTTACAGCAGAGAACTCTTAAGAACCGAAGAGTGACTGCAACACTCATTCCTTCTGGTTTCTACCAAAGAAGCAAGATGCAACAGTCCTGACGGCTTGTGCTAACACAAATCAGTAAGTTGGTAACAACCCTACCAACCAGCACAGCCTGCTTCATCCAGCAGAATCTGCGAGTACAGTCTAAGTGTTTAGATTTGAGGTTCTGCCTGGCAACTGACAGAAATTTCTATTCAGTTTGTTCCTAGACAATATTTTCCAAGAAAGAAAGTAAACAACATATTAAAAGAGAGAAAACAAAGATCATCAATCTGTTTATTCGGATATTTCCACGCATTTACTTCCACCGCAAGCCATTCTGAACATACCATGCACAGCATTAATGCGTTGCATGACCAGATACATCTTGGTTAAAAACTTAAATTCATAGTAATGCTTACATAATATACAAATGTAAATAAAAATACATACGAGGACTCCGTATTTGTTGTTTTCTTATTGCTGGACCAATATTCAACTTCTTATCCTTATAATTAAGTCTTCTAGCCTAGAATTAAAGTAAAAGACCTTCAGTATGCACATTTTCTACACGTATCTAGGCATTCAAGAAACAAAAATCAGAAGTAGTTTCACCCTCCCCTGCTTTTTATTTACAGAGCATCTCAAAAAAACCCAAAGGCTATACTAATTCTTTTTCTATCCCAGCCTTAGATTTCACATACACAAAACTGATAGATAATTCACAATTTCAAATATTAGGTACTCCTCATGTAGCCTCTTGACTAAGAACTTGTACCAACAACTGTCAGCAGGTTTTTTTTTTTTAGTTTTACATTTTTCATGCATTTACTGCTTTTATAAGCAGTCACTAACTGACAATTTAAAGTAGAAAGATTAAATTTTTTTTCATGATCATGACATTTTTTACAAAAGATGAAAGGAACAAGTCAGTCTATTAAAATGGCCAGACTGTGAGGACTGAACGTAAAAAATCCCCATATTCATTCAGGACTGCCTTAAAACTTCCTTACAACCAGGCTAACAAAACAAAGGCACACTAAAAACAGATATCCTAGTAAGGCTAAACTATTACAGAAGAATTTGTTAGTGAAAAAGTGCTGGCTATGGACAAGTAAAGCCACATTCTCTTCCAACTGTTTTGCTTGCAACAGAAAGTGAGCATCAGGTCCATCAAAACCTTGCCTCTTTTTAAATCGACACTGAACTCAGTACTTGTTAATATAATGGAAAAGAACAGGGCAAATGAATTTTTTTTTTTTAGCTGTCAGCATCTCTCTAATACTGCTTTGCAAAGCTTGAAAGGGTTCTGAAGGCCTGCTTCCCTGAACAGTTATGTAAGGGAGAATGCACACTAAACACTACCATGTTACACCACAACACGTTCAGTTTTCAGAGCTGTAACTTCCCCAGTAAGGAAACAATTACTTCTTCAAGAAGAACAGAGAAAGAAATACACTTCTAAATCACATTCAACAGAAAGACAACAGAAGAACACTTAGCTTCTTCATTTTAACCCAATGTAACAAAGTACTTGAACATCTGCACCTAACACAAAGTCCCATCTATCAGATTTAAACTTAGGAAGAGGCTAAACTATTTTGTGGAATCTGGGACTTCATAAATGAGTAGTACTTATGGCAAACATACCTACCTAACCTATTAAACACAGAGCAACTCCTACAACACAGATGCACATTTCGGACAAACTGCATTCACAGGCAACAGAACGATGATTCTTCCCAATGCAGTGTATTTCAAAGATTTGATCTATCAGAATTTAGTCTTTTGGGTGGTTGGTTTTTTTTCCACTCAACTTTCACAGTTAGGAGAAATATCTAATCTGTATGATTTCTTCAAAGCATTTAATACAGCACTGCATGAAAAATTACATAGGATGCTACACAAAGCAAAGACTCATAGAAAAAAAACATGGTGAATAAAAAATTACTTCAGAGAGATGGGAAGAGGTAGCATTAGTAATATTAGCATATGACCAGAAACAGAATCGCGGTGCAACTCCTCAAGGCCTGTTCTCAATACTAATGCAATTTAATACTTTCGAAGAATGTATTAAAAAATTTCTGGAGACTTTACTCATAATAGAAAAGTAGGATGTAAAGAAATCAGTGAAAGAGATGATAAAAATATCATATAAATGAGAACAAATTCAAGAGTACAAAAAAACATTCATTTAATTAAAAATTAAATCTTTAAAGCCTAGAAAAACTCAGCTTAAGATATCTGAGAAAGACCTAGATAGTAACTGTTCTTATGACAAATATGAGATAGCAGCATGATGCAAAGATGAAAAAGGTGACAGAATTGTAGGACATCTAAATTAAAGCACTTACAGTAGACAAAAAAGTATTAGTATCACTGCATGAGACACCAGTAAGATTGCACACGGAGCAGCCTTTCAGTTAGAGGCCAAAATCCTAAGCCATTTTCACAATGGTAGGCAGTACCATTGGTATTCTAAATTCTGTAATTCAGATTCTATAATATTCTATTATTAGATTCTATAATCTAGAATAAAATTACTGTACAAATGGAGAAATAGGCATTGCAATCTCACTATTTACTGACTCGTGAAGTAAAATGATAAAAAAACGTGCAACAAAACAGGGGAAGAGAAGTAGCTGACTCGGGAAGTTCCTGTCTGTGTACTTTCGGCTCCACATAACTGTGTTTTTTGAAAAGACTGAAAATTTTTGAAAGTGTCCCAGCTCTTATTTTGAATCTCCAGGAAAAGGTTCAGTATTTGAACAACCAGCTTTATACTTGTGAGAAGGCAATTTGCAAGCCTTGGATACTATTTTCTTGGGTTTTTTGCCCCTGGACCCAGATACTTTCACATGTATGAACAGATTCTGACCAACAGATCTCTCCAATACATTCCAACCAGAACACAGAGCACAGATTTAAAAAAAAATAAACAAAGCACACTGAAGAGCTAACTGTGTCTCAAGGGAGGTTCTACAAGGAGCATGGAGACAGTAACGTAGCTCAGAGGAGAAGCAAAAATTACATGACAAAGTGAGCTTAACTGTTTAAGACTTCAAGTGTATCCAATTATTCCTGAAAAGAATTATGTCAGCTCTAACAATCAAACATGTCAGAAAAGACAGCAGTTGTCTTTCCCAACTCCCCACAAAATCTTGACAGCAATGGACTTTCTAGCAAAGCAAACAAAAGCCATTGTGAAGGGCAGAGCCTTTATAGGTCTGTATGTACTACAGACTGCAGACAGACTATGGAATTAAAGACTGTACGGCAAAATCAAGAGCTGCACTATGAATTGGCAGCTCCCTTCCCTAGTTCCAGAAGATCTCAGTATAAATCTTATCTTCGATCTCTCTAAGCCATCCTCTTAACTACGCAAATCAAACTTAACAGATCTTCAAACACACGAGCATCAGACACCAGGGTTACCTAGCGTCTAATACAAAACAAAGTATTTCATTTAGGAGATAATCGTGATGGTGACTACCACTTACCTCTTGTAAAATCTTCTGTGCATCTTCTTGCGTTTCAAAAGTAATGAAGCCGTACCTAAATAAAAATTATAGAAGCTAAGCCTCTGAAGTTCATGTTTACACACACTGCACACATTATTACTTGATATACAAGTGACATTAAATGAAAACTACTGGAGGGAATCAATAGTAGAAATAAAGATTGCAGTAGCAACTAACATCCTTGCTATAGTCTACTTACTAATATACTTAAGGATGTGGTCATATACTACTGTTTCTATGCAGTGAATGAGTAGCCCACACAGAAAGCTATGCAAAACTATTGCCCTTGTTACTCAGTGTATGCCGCTATTTCCTTTATTTCTATTAAAGAGATTTTAACCTGATGGTCTGACTTGCTATAGGCACCCAAGATCAGACACTTGGGATGTTATTTTTTTAATGTACTGTACTTCATAGCACAGCTTCCACCTAATTCCGCGACAGTTGCGGATGCTCCACACTTCCACCAGCACTATCCACTACACGAAGCTGAGTTATCAGAAAAAGCAGTAATGCAGAGATAGTGTTTACCTGTGAGTTACTCCCACCACTCCTGACATGACTAGCATTAAACCAGAGTTCTGTGGTGATCAAGGATGCAGTACTCCCACACTTCGTGACACAGTATATCTCTCTCACCATACCTCTAACTGCTGCAACAAATCAAACTAGCTTTCTGCACAGAACTCCTGCTGTATCAAACCCCCTCCACCAACTCCCAGAGAAATCTAGGCCTCTCAATGTGGCACTGCCCGTGCACAAGTAAGTATCTGATCTTACCATTAAAGCCCATACCGCAACACATGTGTACCGAAAAATTGGGGTTTTTTCCCCCTCCAAATTTAACTTCAACTTTCTGAATTTCCACAAATCATTTTTTGAAATCTTTTAGTAGTTTTGTATGCATAATTTCTCAGGTTCATGGCTCATTTCTCAGGGTCAGATTTCAGGTGGCCTCTGTCATTCCAGCCAGCAGATCACATTCTGCAATACAACCTATCATTTGTGAGCATTTCTGTGTTTACCTGGGTACAGAGGTTCAGTAAGTCTCTGACTAGCTATATGTTTAAATCTGTGGGCTCTTCCTATCTTGCCTTTTCTAAACAAATTTGGAAACATTTTCAAGTCCAAAGAACACAAACTATTTTCTGAGCCTGGGACCTTACCTACACAGACTATTCATTCTGTGTGCTATGTGGACAATGAACTAATAGATATAATAAATAGCACAAACTTGAAAGTTTCTTAAATCACTTGTCAAAGGAGAAGCAACAAAACCTGTGCTTGGATTTCAACAGAAATTCCAACACCATTGAGAGAAATTATTTCCCAACATAGTTACTGAGACGTGTATCGGCAATCACAACTGCGTAATAATTGGGTATTACTGGGTTATTGTATTACATGGACACATACTGGAAGTCTCATATTTCCTGTAATTTAGTAAAAGGGTAAGGTTTGGTGACTGATCTGGGACCAGGACCAAGCTCAACATGCCATGCAGTTGTATACTCTATGCTAAGACCCGCAGCTTGGTGTGTGATCTGCTGATACATGGGAAGTGCTGACAGCATTAAAATTACAAGCCTCAGACACCGCAGGCTCACTGCTCGCAAGAGAGCTGCTGACCAAAGTGAACTTTACGGGTACAAATTCTCACGCACGTTCCTTTTTGCTTCAGCCCTCTTTCCACTCTTCTGTGGCAGTACAGTTCCCCACCTGATTTCCTTCACCATCCCTTGGGTTCTAGCAATAAAACTGCCCAGTCTTAATCTTCCTCCAGATATGCTCTTTGGCATTTCTCTCATGGCTGACTTCTAGTCCTAGTCCCCTTTCCTGCAGTCATACATCACTGTCAGATTTGTCCCCTATGTTCTTGTTCCAAAAATCTTCACACAAAATCTCAGTTACTGTCGTGCACTCCAGAACAATTGGGTGTATCTCACCTCCTCCTCCATTCTTAGGCTTCTTTCCACACTGGCTTTCAGTAGGAGAAATATATATTTTTAATGAATAATCTTTTCAGCATTTTTATTGTCATAGATTTATTTAAATTACTCTCATTAAAAAACCTGAAAGGATTATTGATTTTTTTCCTAGTTGCACACAGCTTCATCTTCTATTATAATAACATGACTACAGAGTTTTACAGTTACACAAATTACAGATAAACATGTAGATGTTAAAGGGCAAGAGCAGATTTTTGCATACATTGAACAACCAGGAACATCAGTGACATAAAATTAATAACATTCCAAGCTATGAAAATCATCATAAAATTCACTATAGACAGTCAGCTTTGTTATATTTTCAATTCCAAGAACATGCTTATTGTACTATACCAACCCCTTTGATACTCCAGCTCTGTCATTTACTATCTTCACTTCTTTCACGCTGCCATACTGAGTAAAAAACTTCCTCAGATCACTTTCATTAGTCTAGTACGGTAAATCAAGAGAGGAGAAAAAAAAAAGAAGAAAAGTTGGTTTGCATAGTTATTCAATATTTACCATAAGTCTTTTAATGGATATACTTTGGATAAACTTTGCTACAAACTAATTATAACCCTGGAGAAGAAGAGAGAACAATGAGCACATATGAGCCTAACAGCTAGAGAACAGCACCCCCATTTAATTGCTACATTTTCATATCCAGCAATAATGCTAGAAAACCACTAAAAATATTAAAATTCCTCTTTTAGTGGATTTACATAACTGTCCCTTTAAGGTAAAATCACTGCAGCAGGATTACTAGGTCTGAATTTTAGCTTCTCTAAGTTGCATACTAGACTGCCGTTTTCGATACAAAACGTCGCTGCAGTGTAAGCTTCCATAAACGATTTCCATAGGTCACATACAAAAAAAAAAAGCCCACTAAACCAATGACTTAATAGTCAAATCCATCTAACATACCACAATCCCTCTAAGGTATATTTAATATGACTCCACAAATATGCACTGGCACACCATAAAACCTCCCCACTATAAACTAGGAAAAGGTCCTTTTCATGGAGAATGGTCTAAATCCACTTGGAGGAAACTGTTCCTTACTGAGTAAGCATGGAGGAAGACAAGTTCCTAACAAAGGCGCACTTAAAACTATGTGACCACTTGTCTACCTTCTATGAATCAGTTTTCTTTTATAGTGTAAGCAGGTATTAAATATGGTGCCCTGAACATTACAATTCAGATTTTAAAGTTTTGTTCTACATGTTCCACTATACCTAATGCTTGAAAAAGGGCACTTACATGCATGGATCTCTACGTGTTTCAAGTAATTTCTCTATTCCTCGATACTCCTCATTTTAAGGAACTGTATCAGAAGTACTATTTTACCACTAAGTGAATTGCTTTTGTTTTTAACTGTATTCATACAGTTTAGTAAATACTCTCCTGCACATCAAAGGCTTACCTGCCTCATCTAAGTTTGAGAAGCAAAAAGAACTTAAAAGAAACAAAACCTAATTTACGTAACTTTCATAACTGGAAAGAATGTGAACTCAATGCTCTCGTTGAAGAAGTCTACCCTCAAGACATTTTCGGAAATGAAACAACACAGCTTGCTTGCTACAACCGCTCAGTCCAGCGGAGAGCAATGATGGTAGAAGACTGCTTTATCTCCCTCACTAATCCAAGTATTCGGGCATTAAAACATCAGAAAATACTCAGTCACTCTGAAAGCATGAGCAGTAACAACTGATACAAGTGCACTGAACAGGCATGAAATACTTCATTGTTTTATTAAAGCTCAGTAATTGTGTCCTCTCCTTGGAAACCGCCTGCACCGGTTCTTGAGAAACTACCCACCATGGAAAGGTTAAAGCAACTCTGACTAGAGTCCA